CCCCTCCCAAAAAAAGAAATGTACTCATTACACAATTAAGTATTACTGTTACCCCTCTGTACAACACCTTTACAATAAAATTAAATTAAAAAATAAGATAGCAAAATGGGCCTTTATCTTACTGCTATCAATGGCTTTTAAAAAGTATATTTTTATTATCATTAGTTGTACAAAGGAGTTACTATTCAATACATCAGTTTATGAATACAACAACATCTTGATCTGTATCACCCTCTTATCATTCTTCCCCCATTCCTACCATTCCCAAACCTCCCCCCTTCAATTTTCCTGGTTCCATGTGATACACATTGGATATTGTAACTACACTCTCCCTGCTCCTCTCTTCCTCTATTTACCCCCTCAAGTTCCAGTGTCCCGGTTTTCTTTTTTTTGGGGGGGGAGTCAGTTATGGGGCTTGAACTCAGGGCCTGGGAGGTATCCCTGAGCTTTTTTGCTCATGGCTAGAGTGTAATCACTTTGAGCCACAGCTCCACTTCCGGTTTTCTGATGGTTAATTGGAGATACGAGTCTCATGGACTTTCCAGCCCAGGCTGGCTTTGAACCATGATCCAAAGATCTCAGCCTCTGGAGTAGCTAGGACTACAGGTGTGAGTCACCAGCACCCAGCTGGTTAGACTCTGAGTTAGTTTTTCTAAGGACAGATACACCATTTGAATTTTTGCCTGCATATACCACACTTCAGGTTAATATGTTTTGTACACGTGCACATGATCCTGTGTTTGTTTGTATATTTATAAATTAGATCTAGCTTCCATATAGGAGAGAAAACCTAAGTCCTTTATCTTTCTAGGCCTGGCTTACTTCACTTAACATAATTTAGAAGAGAAAATTCTTTAAAATTATTGTGTAATTCAAAGTTAGCAGGTCTTGGGATACATTCCATTTCAATCATTTCATTTTACTTATTTTATAATACTGGAACTGAACTCAAGGTCTCAAAATTTTTAGGCAAAGGCTTTACCACTTGAGCCATGCCCTCAATCCTTTTGCTTTTAGTTTTGTTTTTTAGATAGGGTTCATTGCTTTTGCCCAGGCTAGCTTCAAAATGAGATTATCTTGTCTCCGTCTCCCAAGTAGCTGGGACCAGAGATGTGCGTCATCATACCTTGTTCGGTTTTGATGCATATTTTTGCTAACTTTGTCTGGGGAAAGTATGATCCTTGTCCTTCTGTCATCCAAGTAACTGGGATTACAGACATGAGTCACCACACTTGGCTTTATGTATTATTATTCAATCAGTTGTTGACAACTAAAGGCTACAAACACCATAAAAGGAAGCCAGAGAATGTAAGTTGCATATATGTACAACATCAACCAGGCATCAGAGCCTGTGATCCTAGCTCTAACTTTGACATCTGAGGATCTTGGTTCAAAGCTAGCTCAGGCAGGAAAGTAAATGAGACTCTTATCTCCAATTAGCCACTAAAAAGCTACAAGTAGAGCTGTGGCTCAAGTGGCAGAGGGCTGGCTTTGAGTACAAAAGCTCAGGGACAGCACCTAGGCCCTGAGTTCAAGCCCCAGGACTGGCACAAAAAATAAGTGGGTTTTTTGCCTAACTTTGCCCTCCTTTCCTTCCTTCCTTCCTTTCTTCCTTCCTTCCTTCCTTCCTTCCTTCCTTCCTTCTTTCTATCATTAAGTAGTTGTACAGAAAGGTTTCAATTCAACAAGTCAGTTTATGAGAACAATGCATCTTGATCAGTGTCACCCTTTTCATCATTCTCTCCATCTCTCACACTTTATACATTTTTATTCCTCAAAAAGGGCTGTTTCAAATTATAGTGGAATGACTAGTCTTTAACAGTGCCTTACACTGAAATGCTCACATGAAGCACAGGAGATTACATGCACCACAAGGGTACTGGTAGCTTCCTTTACTTACATGAGGTTGAACATCCAACAAACAAACTTTGTTTTTAGCGAGGACTGACCGAACTGAGTCTATACTTGTGCCATAGTAGTTGTTTTTATACTCGCCATATTCAATGAACCTGTGGGAAATAAGAGATGTATTAGAATCATTTGTTAAGTTTTAAAAAATGCAGGTGGCAAAGCTGTAATTCATAGGTAAAAGATACTTTTGCTGAACATGTAATTTTTCTACTGTGTTGAATAAAATAAACAGGGCCAAGTACTTCAGCAAATGTCAATTTTAAAAAATCTTCTACATTTTCAAATCAGTAACACTTGCTTGTGTTACACTTAAGCAGGAAAAAAAAAGTACTTTGGTCCAATAGAGACCTAATGCTTTCCATCACCCCCTCTTCCAGAACTAATGCAATGCAATAAAACAGTGAATAAGGCAAACAATAGAAACTACTGGAATTTCATTGCCTACAGAGTAACCAAGCTGGCCTTCAGCACTCCAGGAGCGGGGTGGTGGCTAATGGAACCAGGGCAGCGATTATGTGCTATAAAAACACAATCATTGCACCAAAAGTGTAGAAAGTATTTTGATGTTTCAATAAAAAATCCCACAATCCTACATTCAAATACGCATTGCTTTCTGATACCCTAAAATAGTCAGGCTTAAACAAATGAAAACCCTGGGCATGTGATAGGGAGGGGGAAATCAGAGCTAGCTAAAGGGGTGCTACATGTAAAGCTTTATTTCAAGCTTTTGAAGTGCCTATGTGAGTCGAGGGCATGTATGAAAGAGATGGTGGAACTGGCAACACACGACATAGTTACCCACTGGTTTTTAAAAATAAAACTGTACCCAAGTTAACATGTTGAGATTCAATTAGCGGGTTGGAAAGAGGACAAGGTACAATACGAGCAACCTTTTCGCATGCTGAAAAATAATTCTTACCCATTGAAGTTAGCAGAAAACCATCTAAATTATGCAAAAATTAGAGGTGAAGCTTGGGAACAATTATGATGATCACTATTTATGGGTTGCAAAGATTATGACCAATTAAAATGCACTTCAAATGGTGAAGGGGTACTATGTAAACTGTGTAAAGGTTGACATGCTGGAAAAAAACAACACGGTCAGATAAAAATTCGACAGAGTTTCCACATACTTGTTATTTTGTACGTCTGTTTCAAACAAATGCTTGGAAATGAAAATATATTCAACGCCATCGCTCTCCTGGCTTCGTTTTGCTCTGGTGGTGTCTGTGATTTGATCGGGAAAAAGCAAAAAAAGGTTAGAAAAGATACCATCAAAATTCCCAAAAGAAAAAAAAAACCTTAAAAATAAATCATTAGATGTATTTAAAACCATTTTCTTCCATAGGGTTTCAAAACATAAAAAGCACATTAGTGAACAAAATTATGGAAAGCGTCATCAACTCAGATTTTCCAATAAAGTAAAAATTTAAAGATGGACTAAAAATTCAACTGCATTGTATGTCTGTGTTATTCATTATAAGGAAAGCTTTCTAATATGATAAATAAATACATAAATAAAAGTGGCATTTAATTCTTTCAGGAAAATGCCTTTCTTTCACAAACATTGTACTTACTATCTTTAGTTTCTGGTCTTCCACTGAAATAGGTAGGCTTCTTGTCTACTGGGTTGCAAGGTAAACTCAGAAATTACTTTATTATCATCCACAGGAGTATGTATCAAAGTTCTGTTTTACCAGCTGACTGAAGTCAAATATTTCTATGTACTTAGTCACCACTCCTTTGTAAAGCTGTAAATTGTGTCTTCTTGAACTACCACTCAACTTCTCATCAACCAATAATTGTGTCTAATTGTTTCTAATGAATTATATAGAAGCAAAAGAAGCCAGATTCATTATAAACAACAACACAAAGTTTTCCAGTATTGCTATGGTGAGTGGAAGCCCACTACAGCCCATCCTTCCTCCATCCCAACTAAAACCTCTTCAAAAATACATCAAACTGATAGACTGCAGAGGGGTGTTAAACTGTATGGGGAAGAGCTTGACTTCATTTTTTTCTTAGAATCTCTGATACTTTGCTGAAAAGAGATGGGGGTGGGGGGTGGGAAAAACGGAGATAGCCCTTATGGGTTGAAGAATATGGAGGAAATCTAAATAGGGAGAAAGCAGAGAAGGAAATATTTTAATTCTATGTATGAATGAACATTAGTTTGTTCTGCCTCTCTTAGACATGCAGCTCTGATTCAAACCAACATTGCTGGTTTCATGAAAATGAGCTGTAATTAGCATATACAACTCTTAGCCTAACTCCTGAATGATGGCAACTTGTTTGTACTCAAACCCGAAGAAGAAAGAAAATAGAGCCTTGAACCTATACTCAAGTCTCAGACCAACCCCTGAGCCAGGGCAGACCCACACCAACACAGGACAGGTAAATGAGATAGAACTGAGGAACTACATAGAAAATAGCATAGTTGATTGCCAACATCTAAAAATGCAATTTGAAATTATACAAAACAAGGGAAAAGAAAGATGCAAACCCTGAATGCCCTGGGAGCTGAAATTAACACAGATATGAACACAATTTCCTAACTCTGCTTTATAAGGTAAAGGAAAACACACCAAAACAGTAGTCATAAATTCTTAGCAGAGAAATACAGACTGTAAAAGAAGGATCAACTGGAACCAAAAAATCTGATCACGACCAATCACTACACAAGGTCACAGCAGAATAGAGGATGGAGCTAAGCGCCAGTGAAACTAAAAACATAATACAAATGACATAATCTGAATTATAAAGATAATAATAAACATAGATATACAAAATTCACTAGCACACTATGCTAAAAAACAGATAAAGGGTGTTTTATAGGCTGAAGAGAAATGAGAAGAAAAACTTGTATATTCAAGGAATGGAGGAAGACTAGATAGTTGAATAAATATAAAAGACTATTTTTTTCCTTTTAAATACATGAAAATAAATATGACTGTTGCATTAGAATAGTTTCTAAAGTATGCAAATACAGTACATTCAAAGTAAAGATTAAGGGAGAAAGTAAAAAAGGGATTCATATTGCTACAAGCTTCCTACCTATGTGAAGATATTGAAGTATGTAGCATATACGTAATTGGGGTGCTAGAAGGAGGGAAGAGAGACTGGGGCAAAAAAAATGATTTAAGGAAATAAGAACTATGGATGTATAAAATGTGGTAAAAGGCCCTGTGCCAGAGGCTCATGACTATAATCCTAGTTACTCACGAGGCTATGGCTGTGATTTGAGGATGTGATTCAAAGCCAGCTTAGGCAGGAAAGTTTGTGAAACTAATCTTTAATTAACCAGCAAAAAGCCAGAAGTGGAGCTGTAGTTCAGGTGGTAAAGTGCCAGCCTTGAGCAAAAAAGCTCAGGGACAGTGCTCAGGTCCTGAGTTCACGCCCAGGACTGGCAGGTGCATGTGCGTGCTTCTCTCTCTCTCTCTCTCTTTCTCTCTCTTTCTCGCTCTCTCATTCAGACACACACACATTTGATAAAAGGAAACTGAGCAGATAATTAGGACAAATTCAGGGAGGAAAAATCCTAGACATATTAAAACCAATGATTAAAAACTAAATTAAATTAAGAAATCTTAAAAGTGGTTAGAAAGGAATACTGACTTAAAATTTCACAGGCTTCATAATTCACAGAAACAAGAAATTGATGTGATAATATCTTTATAGTACTAAAAGAGAAGACTTATCAACCAAAATATCTTTCAGTAATAAAGTAAAATAAAGACTCTCAGATAAGAAAAAACACAAAATTCACTAGCAGACTATGCTAAAAAAAAAAACAAAACAGATAAAGGGTGTTTTATAGGCTGAAAAGAAATGAGAAGAAAAAACTTGTATATTCAAGAACTGCTAGACAGTTGAATAAATATAAAAGACTACATTTTTCCTTTTAAATACATTAAAATAAATATGACTGTTTTAAAGTAAAATTATATTGGAATAGTTTCTAAAGTATGCAAATATATTACATTCAAAGCAAAGATTAAGGCAGAAAGTAAAAAGGGATTAATACTGATGGCAAGCTTCCTACAGTTTATGTAAAAATGACACAATTAACTCTAAGTAGATTGTGAATGATTAGGTGTGCATGTTGTAATCCCTAAAGTGAGAGATAAGAAATTAAAAGATATAAATCAGAGTGAACTGATACATTAAAATGTAATAGTGGAAATCATTCAGCTAATCGGAAAGAAGGCAGAAAAAGAAAGGAAAAGAAAATTAAGCACACAAAGGGACCCAGATCACAAATAATAAAATAGTTGCTTAGATTCAGTCACATCTGTAATTCTGTAAGTGCTTATGGAAATACCAAAATTACAAGGCAGTTTATTTGTTTATATAAATTTATTTAGGTAGTTCTGGGATTTGAGCTCAGGATCTTGAGTTTGGCCAAGCTGTTCACTACCGTTGACCCTCACCTCTAGCCTTGGTGTAAAAGGGTATAATCTCCTTGGAGAACCATCTGTTAGTGTCATTAACAATTAAACCTATGACCTAGCCATTCCACTTATTTGCCTAAGAAAAGCAAACACGTCCATAGAAAGTTTGGTACATAACTTCATCTTAATTACTTTACCAACAATGAGGGTCATGGAGGAACCTATAAATATCCATGAACAAATAAACAAATTGTAGTATTTCTATACCAAGAAAGCAACTAATGAACTACTGACCTATGAAACAGCATGGGGAATCTCAGACCCGTGCTACACAGTACAAAACTGCACATGGAGTACAAGAGTTACATGATGTATAATCCAATATAAAGTACTGATGATTCCAACCCAAAGGAATTAGTATAATAATCTGGGGTCACTGACAGAGGGCTGGACTGCAGAGGCATAGATAATTTTGGCGGAGATAGAATTGTTTGTTATGCTGTCTCAGATGAAGGTTTTACATGTGCATACATGTATTCAAACAGATCTAGCAGTACATTTCAAATATGTGCAGTTTGTTTATCTCAATTATATTTTAATAATATCATAAACATGTGAAGTGGAAAAAAGTAACCTAGTACAAAAAGAATGATTTTTTCCAAAGCCTAAATAATTGAAATTATACCCTAAAATTGAGTTCCTTTTTATTGAATTACCAAGCATATTTTATTAGCATGATGATCAAGCTCTCTTGAATTATCAAGCATATTTTACTTGCATGATGCTCAGCTCTCCTAACAGTTCTTCAAAATTGTTCCACTTGTGGCTCCCTGAGAGACAGAATATAGCCTTTCCAGGAACAGGGTGAAATACTGATAAAAATTTTTTTATTCTATTATAAAAAGTAAGAATAAAATTCACAGCAGAAAAATGCTCTTTTGAGCCTATTGTATAATACATATCCAAGAACATGACAGTTACTAGAATTAGTAGGATGTTCTTGGAAATATGGCTAAATTCATTCATTAATTATGTTTATTTGTGGGGTTTGGCATTATTGCTTTAGCAAAGAGTAGGCTTAAGAAAAAAAAAAGTCTTATTGGAAATTCAAACAGAATATTCTGGGCATTACTTTGTCAAGAAGGGAGAAAAGATTGTCTTTCTCCAACTGGAATAGCAGAAGCTGGTTAAGACAGTTTAAGGATCATCACCCTCAACACATAAAGTCTCCCTCAAGGATTAAACATATCAACTGGTGTTTGGAGCAAGACTATTCTGATACCACTGAAAAAGGAGTATGTTTACTGCCACAGTGCTTGCATGTATTAGGATGAACCTGATTTAGCCAGGTTTGATATGAGTTCATTGGTGAAGTGTGTTAAGGTCTAATTTGAACCTCATAAACTCACTAAGGAGATATTGTTAGTAAGATCATCTGAATTCCTTTGAGAAGATTACAAGGGTTATTATGAGTTTTGTTGTTGTTATAGTTTATAGTGTTTGGTCTGCAAAGAATAATCGTGTATGTTAACAAGTACTCTACCACTGAACTGTATCCTTAGTCCAAGGGCTATATTATGACTTTGAAAATTCCGTTCTAGAATGTGGACACTTTTAAACCTCTCAGATAACAATCTGATATAAACCTGCATAAGGAACACAGGAAGTGATTCCCAGAGGAGAGTAGTTCCCCAAGTCCAGCCTACACGGACTTTGCAATCTACCAAATATTTGATATCTACTAAATAGTACCTTTTGAGAACTGCTTTTCAGCCAAACAAAAGCCCAAGAATAATCACATTTACCTGATCTGGCATTTTTAAACATATTGCCTTTTGCTTCAGAATGATGTTTTGCATTATGGACCTCACATTCAATAGAAGTCCCATATAGACAGACTTCTGGTGATGCTGTAGTTAACTGACTTTATGTAAGTTCAAGTTGTGAAACTGCTTCCTGACACATTTCTTGGGACTTAACATTTAGAAGTTACGTGATAACTGCTTTTTGGAGAAACATGAAATTGTTATAAATTCAAAGTAGTTACAAACACAGTACTGAAGTGTCATTTCTTTTTTTTGGGGGGTGGTCCGGTTGTGGGGCCTGAACTCTGGGCCTGGGCGCTGTCCCTCAGCTCTTCAGCTCAAGGCTAGTGCTCTACCACTTGAGCCACAACACCACTTCTGGCTTTTTTCTTTTTGCTTATGTGACGCTGAGGAATCGAACCCAGGGCCTCAGGCATCAAGGCAAGCACTCTACCATTGAGCCACCTTCCCAGTCCCTGAAGTGTCATTTCTTGACTTCCTTGGGGAAGAGGTAGATAACTATGACACTTTATCTAAACAAAAAAATAATTGACATCAGCAAATTACCAGGAACTAAATAAATATTTCTTTTTAATATGAAAAATCCTGAGTATGGCCAGGGCATTTGCACTTGTAATCCTAGTGAGGCAGGAGGCTGAGATCTGAAGCTTGCAGTTCAAAGCAAGCCTTGGAAAGGTAATTCTCGTCTCCAATGAATCGCTAAAAAATTGGAAGTAAGACTCTTATCTCCAATTAACCACCAAAAAAGCTGGAAGCCAGTTGTGACTCAAGTGATAGAACATTAGCCTAGAGCAAAAAAAGCTCAGATAGTAGTACCTGGATCCTGAGTTCAAGTCTCCCTTCCCAATAAAAAAACTCTGAGTATGACACACAGACAGCAAGGTTCACATAGAAGTCAAAATACACATATAATTATCCTACAGCTTAATGAACTCTCATAGATCAATATGCCCACAGAAGTAGTACTTTGACAAGAACCTAGCAATCACTGCCTCAGTTGTCTTTCTCATTCATTTCTTCCACTGTTCTAATAGTGCATACTACTGTTGCTCTTTTATTATGGTTATAACAGATGGAGCTATAACACATACTCTCTTTCCCGCCTGCCTACTTTTTGGTCAATATACTGCCTGTGAGATCCATTGGCATTGTTCTGGCCACTTGTGGTCCATCTGTTCTCACTCTAGGATTCCATTGTGTAAACATGCCATAGTTACTCATCCATTCAACTGCTGGTAGGCATTTTGGTAGTTTTCAGTTTGTGGTTCTTATAAATAATGTTTTTAAGACTATCAGAATATACCTACTCAAGAGGTTGCAATCTGAGGAACCTCGTGTGAAGCTAGCTTGAGCAGATAGATAATCTAAAAGACTCTCTGTCTCTCTCTCTCTCTTTTTTTTGTCAGCCGTGGTGCTTGAACTCTGGGCCTGGGTGCTGTCTCTGAGCTCTTCAGTTCAAGGTGAGGGCTCTATCACTTGAGCCACAGCACGATTTCTGTTTTTCTGGGGTTAATTGGAGATAAGAGTCTTACGGACTCTCCTGCCCAGGCTGGCTTTGAACTACAATCCTCAGATATCAGCCTCCTGAGTAGCTAGGATTACAGGCATGCGCCACCAGCACCCGACACAAAAGACTTTTATATCCAGTTAATCAAGGAAAAGCTGGAAGGGAGGGCATGGCCCAAGTGGTAAAGCACCAACTGTGAGTAAAAAAGCTAAAGAAAGTGCCCTGTCCCTGAGTTCAAGCCCAGGTCTGGGGGAAAAAAATGTCCTGATACATGTCTTTTGCTGGATGTACAATATGCACTTCTGTTGGGTATAATCTGGGAGCATGGCTGAGTCATGTAATGTGTGTTTACACAGCTTTTGCAAATATGGCTGCTTAGGTTTCCAAAACACTGAGTTAATTTATACTTCCTTCATGAGTGTGGAAGGGTTCCACTGCTTGAACTCTCTTCACTCTCCTTACTTTGGTGGATACTCAATGTATGTTTTGGAAAAGAACATTATAGAATTAAACATCATATTTCAGAGTCCATCCTAAGTATTTTACAAGCATGACAATCTAAATTACAAAAGTGCTTCTAAACTGTATTCTTTTTACTAATTATAAATCATCCTATATTGAGGCTATTTCCCTATTTCCTAAATAGCTCTAACATTCTGAATTACTTGTGGTGCTTGCTTCTTATAAAAACAGAATGGGGCATATCATTCCGTAAGAATGATTCTTATCAGGCAAATCCAAAAAACATCGTTATTGTAAAATATTTGGGGAAGTGAATCACAGTGGGAAAACAACTGTGTGGAGGACATCTCTGGAGAGTCCAAACCCAGAATCTTCTGAGGCAAAAATTGTAATGGCAAGATAAGCCAAGGCCAAACCTTTAGTACAACTAACGCCATCATGGTGGGTTATGTTTGAGAGATGACCTTTCTCACATTTATCAACCTCAAAAGGGATCAGGTTTAACTGTAGCTTGATAGAATTCTTGGGACTATCCAGGAGAAATAATATGAGAAGTGAGATCATAAAACATGGCTTCACATCTAAGTGCTGCTACTGTCTATGGAACGCTAACCGGATCAATGCATCCTTTCTTCCCTGTTTCCTTCTGTGGGGAAGGGAGAAAATATCCTCCATTTTACACTGTTGTTAGGACTGCATAAATTAAGACGAACAAAGAGATGAAGATAGAGTAAGAAATTAATACATTTGTTTTTTCACCTTCTAGATTTCTCCTGTAACTGCTCACCTGCCAGCTTAATAATTGTCTTGTAAAATTTTGTTTGTATGTTACAATTCAACTTCCGTAAGAGAAGGGAATTAAAGTAAAAAAAAAATTCCTAATTCCACATTTTCCTTGCTTTCATCTCCCTTGGTGAAAACCAACAGTCCTATAACTTATGGCTGAAAATGATTACAAACAATAATTCGGAAAAATGCAGTAAAAGAAAGAACTTGAGGTACTAGAAAACTATAATTTTAAAACAAAGTTGAACTCTTCCAAAGCTAAAGAACATTGCTAAGGGCAATATACAAATGATTTTTCTTTCAAACACTACTAAAACCACTTGAAAAAGCCAACATTTCAATTTAGTCTTTTAGAGAGCTTTCTAACATCAACATATTAAGTAGTCAAATGGCATTTATTCTGGAGATCAAAATGTTTCAAGCATCATATTTCATTTGTAAAAATGACTAGGAAAACCACTTTTATAAAAATAGATCTCATTCGGGGTACAGAAAAGAAGCCTGCCATATTTGGCCTGTATAGCCATTAAAAAAGCCCATTTGACACCACCTGCCAATTACTACATATAAAAGGTAATTAAGAAAGTTCCCGTTATGAGACCTCTCCTCCAGCTCTCTATGATTTGGTCCTTCTAATTGAAAAACTGCTGGAAAAAAAAAACCCTCTGGAAAACATTAGCACTTATTTTAGGAAACAGAATAGCAAGACCTGTACTCAGACAAAAATTTGTAAATAGCAAGCTGATGTCATCTGTGTATTCATGTTCATCATAAAAATCTGAAACTAGGAATCTGACATTAATAAATATCCTGCCAATAATCTGTGAGATCCAAGGCAACTCCCTTATCCACTGGTGCCTCAGTTTCCCACTCAGCGTATAGCACAGGTTTGCTTGCAGAGGTGGGGTCTAGAGGGTGAGTGCTAGGAACAGTGTTAGTGCAGTGGAGCACTGTGAATATTTAGGGTCAATCTATGGTGTAGTCATAGAAACAGTGAACAACAGAAAACTCACGGGGCACCGTTACTCCATAATGCTGAGTGTCACTGATGAGCAGCTTCCGCTTCAGTTCATTCAGCCCCACGCCTACAGGGCCTGAAAAACAGGATAATGGAAACTCATTCAAATGAAACACCATCTAAGCAAGATGCAGGGCGGGGGTGGGGTGCTCATTCCTGTAATCCTAACTACTCAGGAGGCTCAGATCTCAGGATTGCAGTTTAAGGCCAGCCCTAGCAGAAAAGTTCATTGGACTCTTCTCTCCAATTAACCAGCAAAATGCCAGAAGTGGAGGTGTGGCTCAAGTGGTAGGGCACCAGCTTTGGGCAAGAAAGCCAAGTGAAAGAGTGAAGCCCTGAGTTCAAGCCAAACCACACCATCTAAGCATTTCTATAACTGCCACAAACCCATCAGTTAGACTGAGAACACAGGACCAATCTTATATTTCATGTAAAGAGGTTACTTGATAGGTAAGCTGCATAAAAGAACCAGTCAGGACTTCTTCCACTGTCCTTTTTTTGTTTGTTTTCACTTCTAAAGTTTACATTCCCACAGAAAAGGTTAGACATGCTTTCAATATGTTTTCAATAATAACTCAAGAATATGTGAGTATATTACTAAGGAATGGTATTTACAAGAGTGTAAAAATATATTAAAAATTATATGCCAGTCAGGCACCAGTGGCTCATGCCAGTAATTCTAGCTACCCATGAGGCTGAGATCTGAAGATGGCAGTTCAAAGCCAGGCCAGGTAGGAAAGTCCGTGAGTCTCTTATCTCCAATTAAAAACCCAATACAAAAACCCGGAAATGAATCTGTGGCTCAAATAGTAGAGCACTAGTCTCAAGCAAAAAAGCTCAGGGATAGCTCCTAGCCCCTCTACCCCCCTGCCCCAGATACTGGTGCCCAAAACACAGAGATTTCAAATGTGAGCTGAGATCAAAAGTTAGAAGGACTGAGCTCTAAGGAGCTGGCATTCCTTTTCCAAAGCTTCCCACGTCTGCCTTTAGAGACTGTTAAGGACTATGTAGTGCAGTGGGCACAGTAGTCTAGAGGGCCAGCCTGCTTTGAACTTGGCTCCTGGCCCCCCCTCCCCCAGTTCCCCTCCAGCACTCCCTTCCCAGTGAAACTGCATGAGGCAAAGCTGCAGTGCTTGAGCAGATGTTATGCTGAGTGGCAACGGTCCATTTCTTGGAGTGAAAAAGAAATTACACACAGTGCCTGCTGCTGAACTCAGGTACTTGAGTTGTATCTGCAATTTACCACCAGCTAAAAGTCAGACTGGAGGTGTGTTTCAAGGGGTAGAGCAACAACCTAAAAAATAATCTAAGGACAGCACCTAGGCCCTGAGTTGAAGCTCTACCCAGTACACACACACACACACACACACACACACACACACTCCTCAGCTGTCCCCCTAGTGCTTTGAAGACAGTTATACACTACTGGCTTTGACTTTTAGGAGTAGTGTAAGAAACCTACTCTGAACTAGGCACCAGTAGGTTCACACCTGCACACCTGTAATCCCAGCTCCTCAGGCTGCGATCTGAGGTTAAGGTTTGAAGCCAGTGGGGCAGAAAAGTCTGTGAGATGCTTATCTCCACTATACTACCAAAAAGCCAGAAGTGGAGCCATGGCACTAGTGGTAGAGTGCTAGCCTTGAGTAAAAGCAGCTCAGGGACTGTGCCCAGGCCCTGAGTTCAGGTCACAGAACAAGTACCCAAAAACAAAAACAAAAACAGAACAACAACAACAACAACAACAACCCTACCAGCCTGGGAGATGGGCCAGTTTCAGTGGTACTAAAGATTGTTACCTGAAAACCCTAGCATATTCTTGGCTCCCAAAGGTTTAGCCTAATACTGGGACATGCACATGAGACCTTGGTTCCACTGACAGGTCAAGCATTCTGACAGTAAGAACATGGTGCTGGGCTGGGAAGGGGGCTCAGTGGAAGAGCCCAGGCTCTGACTTGAAGCCCCAGGACCAGCAAAATAAAACAAAAAAACAACAACAAAACCCATGGTGCCCTCCACAATGCTTCTTACTGTACAACACAGGACTGGGCGTGGCTCAAAACGCTGGCTCTTCCTCTCTCACCTCAGGAGCCTTCACTTCAACCATGACTGGGCACACCTGGGCTTTGCCATCAGTAAGGGCAATACTAAATTCCAACTTCCCAGTGTGACATCACTTCCTGATCCTCTTAAGAGTTCTCCCAGGTATGATTACATGGACCTCTAGTGCATTAATTTCCTTCCTTTCTTTTTATCCAGCTGCCTTTCAAATCTTCACCTTTTTGGGGCCATTGTATCTTCCACTAGAGTTTGCTAGGAGATCTTCAACTCCTATGCATGGTCCTTTCTAGCATACTTGTTAAGAAAGCTTCCTAGGATCACTCAGTGGCACACCGGTACGTGGATGGCTGATTGCAGAAAACCCTCAAACCTCCACAGTTGGTATTACCACACCTTTAAGTCTCTACATATGACCTAGGTGTGCCACGGCTTTTCTATATTCCCCTTACCAGTTGCATTTCTGTGGTCCCCACAATGGTAACTTCCATCCTTCTCCATTCCTGTACTGACACACCCAGAAGCCTTCTTGTCACTTCCTCCAGATCTATGATTGTCCATCACTACTGCTGCCAGTCTAGTTCAGATCTTACTTCTGGCCCCTTCTCTTAGAACAGGCTCTTCATGGCTGTTCCAATCCACCATCATACTGCTATAGAAGTTCTTTTGAGAACCCAATCAGATCCTGTCACTCCTTGCTCCATGTTCTTGGATACGTAGTTTCCAATGGCTCTTCCAAAAAAAAGAGATCAACATCTTTATTTGGTGATACACCTGAATTCTGACCCTCAGAGATCTCATCTATTTCTGTAGCCCCAGGGACTTTTGGTTTGGGCCTTCTGTGATAACTGACGAGCCTAAAGGGAGCTGTGTCAGAGCAGGCTCACACAATTAATACTCATCTGTTCCAAGAATGGTCAGGGGAAACAATGTTATCTGAAAAAGTTCCCCTGGAGTATTCTAGATCACCACCAACTTCAAAGGTAGGGCTGTTGTCATGAAACAAAAGCTTAAAATATGAACATAGTTTTGTTCATTCTGATTAAAACTGTTCATGAGGCATGCAAACAGCATTTTCTCTAATGGGAGCCTTTGGGTTCTTCAATTCTTGGACATCAACAATTTTTTACTTGGAAAAAATGCAACATAGGGCTAGGCATGGTAATGTACACGTGTAAGCTCATCTAGGTGGGAGGAAGAGATAGAAGCATCATGTTTCAAGGTCAGCAAGAGCAAAAGGTTGTAAGGCCTTTATTGCACGGTGGTTAATCCTGTAATACTGGCTACACAGGAGACAGATGTCAGAGGATCACGGATAGAGGAATGCCCAGGACAAAAAAATTAAGATCCTGGGGCTAGGAAGGTCGCTCAATGGTAGAGTGCATGCTTTGCATGCATGAGGCCCTGGGTTCGATTCCTCAGCACCACACAAGCAGAAAAAGTGGGAAGTGGTGTTGTGGCTCAAGTGGCAGAGTGTTAGCCTTGAGCTGAAGAGCTGAGGGACAGTGCCCAGGCCCAGAATTCAGGGCCCACAACCGCGGAAAAAAAAAAAAAACAACAACAAAGGAAGGTGGCTCAGTGGTAGAGCGCATGCCTTGCATGCATGAGGCCCTGGGTTCGATTCCTCAGGACCACATAAGTAAAAAGAAAAAAAGCCGGAAGTGGCGCTTTGGCTCAAAGTGGTAGAGCGCTAGCCTTGAGCTGAAGAGCTGAGGGACAGCGTCCAGGTCCAGAGTTCAGGCCCCACAACCAGACCCCCCCCCAAAATAAAGCAAGATCCTATGTGAAAAATAAACTACAATCAAGAGGGCATCCACTGGTGGCTTGTGTCTATAATCCTAGCTACTCAGGGGGCCGAAAGGATAACAATTTAAGGCCCATTCAGGCAGGACATTTTGCAATGTGCACCCTCAAGATTACCAGCAAAAGGCTGGTTGCTGGAGCTATGGCTTAAGTGATAGAGTGCCACCCTAGTAGGTATGAGACACTGAGCTCAAACCCCAACACCACATTAAATAAACGAATGAATGAATAAAATGAAAACAAAAGCAGAAGCTGAGGGTGTGGTTCAAGTGGTAGAGTGCCTGCCTAGCATGCAGTCCTTAAGTTCAAAACCCCAGTACAAAACAACAACCAAAAACCCACAGTAAAAGAGAGCACAACAAACACTGATCATATTCCTATCCCGTATTCTTGTACTGTTAGATATAATCACATTTTTAGCTGCCTGTTTTATGTTCAGAATGCAAAACTATTTACATTGCAGGCAATTTGGGACTGTAAACTGAAGTGCAATCATATATATACCCACAACAAGATGGATCCTTTTTGCTCTTCAATACACACATTGGTGAATGAAATGCATTTAAATGTGCACAGATTAAAAAGACTGCTTTATAGCTGGTTTCCAACTGTGCTTGCTAGTGATTACATGAAGCAGAGGATTTAGACAACACATTTAAAAATGAAGCAGCAAAAAAAAAAAAAAAAAAAGGAGCAGCCTTTGGAATAATAACGATAATGACGGGGTAGGCTCTTTGCATGTGGCAGGCTTGGTCTACACAAATCATTACTAACCTTCAAAACATCCCTGGAGGAAAGTATCATTATCCTTATCTAAGAGATGAGGAAATTGAAACAATGAAAAGTTAGATCATTTTCAAAAGGTCATATGACTAGAATGTGTTTTAGCTGGTATAGAAAAGCTCCTCTGTCTCACTCAGAAATCTGCATTCTTTTCACTCTACCTATGATCTTGTCAAAAGAATGTGGAGAAAATGCGGGCAAGGATAGAAGTTGTTGCTCTGGCCATGATTGTGATCAGGAACTCCTGAAACATCCCAGCTGCCCATGCCTCTGATGGGGGGGGGGGGCGACATGTGTTTGTGGGCTGGCAGATTCTGGCTACAAAACTGGCACAAGTCAAACCTGCTGCTGTCAAATGTCATACAAGGCAGAGCCTCTGAAGGTTCAAATAAACTTAAATAGCTACGGCTAACACAATTTGAACTAATTAGCCAG